GGTGGGCCTATATCATTAAGGTCCTTGTTAGCCATGCTAAAAGGTTTGGACTTTATCCCGGGTCCAAACCCAAAACCACTGCAGGGAGTTATGGAAGAGAAAAGGGATGCAACCAATTAGATGGGCAGAACCAAGGGTGAAACCCAAGTTCAGACTTGGAAAGCACAGTGAGTGATAGAGTCATTCACTAAATTAGAGGGAACAGAAGAGGAGCAGCAGAGACAGACGAAAATCGAAGTTTTGGACATGGGGAGACTCCAAGAACAATTGCCCGTGGTTAAGAGTGGATGTACAAGTCTTCTGTGAGTTGAGACAAGTACACTGGGAGCACTGGGAATACAGATTTAAACATCATCAGCACGATGGTAACCGAAGCCCTAGAATGGTTGAGGCCCCCCCAAGGAGAATGTGCATAGAGAAGAGTCCTCGAAGGCCAAAACTGAAGGTCTTAAGGGAAAGGAGCAGTTTACAAAAGGGACCGAGAAGGAAACCTGGAGCGCCCTATGAAATACATAAAGGAAGTTGCGGGGTAGCTCGGCTAAGTGAGAACTGAGTGTCTGCAGGATTTAGCAACACGATAATCACTGGTGATGCTGGCAGAAGCAGCTGACTTGGAATTTTGGGCCCAGAAGCCTAGTTAAGGGGGGTTGAGAGGTGAGTGGGAAATGAGGAGCTGGGGCAGAAAGGGTAAACTGATGAAGAATTGTATGAAGAGGTGCTTATAGGGTGGGGGGAAGACAGGTTGGAAGCAGAGGTTTTGGCAAGGGCTGGGACGTTTGGAAGCGTGAAGGAATGCAGAAGCACGAAGCAATCAGAAAAGACTGTGCAGGGGAAATGCTTAAGCTGATCTTAAGGAAGGGGTTGGCATTTCCTTGGAAAAAGAACTGGTGTCTGTAAAGGCAGGGAGGCAGGGGCAGGTGCGGCCATATTCACGGAATTCTTAGTAGTTCTGTTTTATTGTGCTACCTCTTCCTTCATCTACCCTTCATTCCAGCCAGGCCGTACCGTTGATCTGGACCCACATTCAGTCTGCCTTTGCTTGCCCTGCTCTCTCCACCTACAACGCCTAACCCCCTACTTCACCAAATGTCCAAGTCTCCCTCACCCCAGCAGCCCACCACGAATACCAAGACCTCCGTGGATTCACAAATGTCTTCTTCCTTCTCCTCCACTTGGGAGAGGAGAAGAACTCCCCTCGGAATTCTCCTAGCATTGTGCTTGTATCTCTCTGGCAGCATTACTACTGAAGTCTCAAACATCTGCAATAAAAATCAAAGATGTCTCAACAAGGTCAGGTGAAGTAGCCCAGAAAGTTTAGAATAAGTGGGAAACAGTCCATTTTGCTCACATTATTTTGGCAACCCATCACTTCAGACAGACAGGATTTTAATCAATGTGGAAACACATCTTTCCTTGGACATAAGTTACTTCAGACCATCCAGGCATGCTTACTGCTCCGTGAATGTCAGCACTTATGCAGGTGTCAGCTTCCTGTGGTGGGGAAAGCTGCCCTGAATGTCTGCCAAGAACTTGAGAGCTTTTGTGTCACCTCAGCCCTGGGTGATAATCAGACAAGCTCCGGGCTAGGCAAAGGAGCCACCAAAGTGCTCAGCAAAGACGCCCCACACCGGCAGTCATCCTTAACAGGAGCCTGCCCTTTGCTTAACACCCCAGCACTTCCTCATCAGTCCTAACACCTCCTATTCACTTGTGAGTGCTCTGTACACTTGTGGGTGTGCATACAGCACTCACGAGTAAGAATATATAGGAAAAGAAGACAGAGTGAAGAGAGTTGCAGTAGCAAAAAGGTTTCTGATCACTGTAATGAGTGCACAGACATGAGGGTCAGTCTTTTTCGTTTTTCAATTATAGTTTACATTCAGTATATTTCTATATTAGTGTCAGAGGTACAGCAAAGCAGCTGGACAATCATGTACTTCACGGAGTGGTCCCCTCACTGCCTTAAATACACACACCTGGCCTGATACATATTTATCACAATACTATTGAGTATATTCCTCTGCTATACTCTACATCTGTGTGACTGTTTGTAACTACCAGTTTTTACTGCTTAATCCCCTCACCTTTCTCACCCAGTCCCCAAACCCTTCACCCCTGACAACTGTCAGTCTTGATACAAATCTCTTAATATCTGTGTATAATGCCTACATGCTTTCAATACATAAAAAGAGAACAGGAACAAATGCACCACCACAGCATACACATACCACAGCAACCGCATGTACACTCTCTTTGTAAACACAGCATTGTAGGAGACATTTCCTCTTGTAGTGTGAACCATACACATCAGAACTGCATTTTAGAATATGTACAAATACCAGTTAGATCATTCCCCAAACCTCTTTAACGTTTGGAGAAAAGGAAGGATATATACAAATTCAGGGATTTTGAATTTGTATATAGACTTTCCAAATAGATTTGAAAAAAATAGATTTTCCAAGCCTTAAAGAAATAGAAATACAAAGATTTTCACTTATATATATATATACATATATATGTGAAATATATATGAAATATATATGAAATATATATATGATATATATATATATATAGTTTTAGTATTTCTGTTCCAAGGAAGCATTCAATTTTGGATGAACTTGAGTTTCAGGAAATGTAGCCAGTATCCAAAGACATATTGAAAGGTAAAATTATTTACCCTTCAGAGTCTGCTATATCTTTGCCATATCCAATTAGGTTAAGTTCATTGCTCACTTGGTGGTTAAAAAAGTAAAAGTCTGTAGAACAGTGAGAAAGTGAGTTATCTTTCTGTTCCAAAGCATACTGTGATTCATCACTAAGATAGTAACCTGAGAAATCAGGCTCATATACTATCTGACACAGTTTTCAATGTCTTAACTTTTGGGGGCAAGTTTATTTATTTACTTTTAGGATTTTTTTACTTTTTTATTGAACTTATTGGGATTACATGGGTTGATAAAATTATATAGGTTTCAGGTATACAATTCTACAATACATCATCTGTATACTGTATTGTGTGCTCACCACTCCACATCAAGTATCCTTCCATCACCATTTACCCGCCCTTTAGCCTCTTCTACATTCCTAAGACAACTTTAATTATAAAATAGAGATGCCCTGTTTTTAGCTCTCAAAGTGTTGACACCCAGAGCATAGTGAATTATTTTTCACTAAGAAAAGAATGAAGAGAATTCTTTTCTCCTCCATGTTAGCAGAATGTGAGGATTCTTTTTTTTTTTAAGATTTTACTTCTTTATTTTTAGACAGAGGGGGAGGGGGGCAGAAAGAGAAGGAGAGAAACGTCAATGTGTGGTTGCCTCTTGCATGCCCCCTACTGGGGACCTGGCCTGCAACCCAGGCCTCAAAGCTTTGGTTCGCAGGCTGGCACTCAATCTACTGAGCCATGCCATCCAGGGCAGAATGTGAGTTTTAAGAGAGGATTTTAATCTGTGGAGACTGGAAGTATGGACTGCGTTTGATTAATTTGATGTGCTCCGCTAAGGCACCTCTTTTCATCCCTGGCTCCAACTTCCTATTGTAGTTCCATCTAAATGTATAACATAGTGTATACCGCTTCAAGGAACACTGTCAACTTGGTGGGTGATGCCAGTTCACTTCAAAGTATGACACATGAGAACCTTTGGAGGAGAGGAGGAAAGGCCTAGGCATTTGGACGACACATTTACATAAGAGGACCAGAAAGCCAGGATTTGTTTTTGTTCTTGACAGTTTCCAGAGTGTCTAGGCTCAGTAATCAACAAAAACCAACCCTCATCTACAAACCATTTTCTCCAGGTGGGGCACATTCTTCACTTTTTTCATCACTTCATCAAACTCCTGATTCTGAGCTCTTTCCCAACATCCCCTCTGGTCCAGGTTAGGATGGAGAAAGGAGGGAGCCCCTGAGCTCTGCTCTGGGAGGGTGGGGCCACCCATCCTGGAAGACTGTAGGTCCACAGCAGTTGTCAAAACCAACCAGCCAAGGGGTTGCCCCTGGCTCCAGTCTGACCATGCTCTAGCCCTGTGCCAGTTGGCAATGACAAAACTTATGTCTTTGTGGTCCTTCTCAAGCCTCTGGGACTCACACTGGTTAGTTCTGCTCAACAGGATATTTCTATCCACTCTGCCTATGGACTACACTATTTCCTAAAAACCCAGGCCATTAAACTAGATTTGGTTTAAGGACTTATTTATTCCTCTACTCATCACCATGCTAAAAATTTCAAACCAAACTTTATGAATTCAACAGCTGATCATCTTCTCTTACCCTTGTTACAAATATCTACAGACAGTGCCAGGGACAGACTGAACAAGGAATAACTGAAACTTCTTCCTAAGGCATGAAGGAGGTAAATGGAGGCAAGGAAATGGTCCTGTATAAAGGAAATAATTAGTAATAGCTCTATTTACTAAGTGTTTCCTCTCCACTAGGCACCAAGGTATCTACCCAAGCTAAATGTTTTTCATTTAATCCTCACCTAAGTAATATTAAACCCTATTTTACAGATGGACTGACTAAAGCTTGGTGAGTTTAAGTTGCATGTTCAAAGTCACAGAGCTAGTAAATAGCTGAGGCAAGTTTATGAAAGAAGCCAAACTTACTCCAAAGCATGGGCTCTTTCTAAGAATCTATGCTTCTCCCAACTGAACGATGAGATCTAAACAGTTGGAATTTAATTCTAAGCAGTGATTCTCAGCTGTGGGCTGTTTGCCCCTCCCCTGGGAAATATTTGGCCATATCTGGGGATATTTTTGGTTACCACAGCTGGTGGGGGAGCTGCTTTTGGCATCTAGTGAGTAGAGGCCGATGCTGCTGCTCAATATCCTACAAATGCCCGGGACAGCCCCCAACAGCAAAGAACTACCTGGTCCAAAATGTCGGTAGTGATTAAAGTTAAGAAACCTTGATTCAAAGGATGGGGTGGGGGAGGAGGTTAAAGCCAATTTATAAAAGAAGGTTGTGTCTGTACCTCACTCATATGTGCTTTGTCCTGTCACAGATGACAGCAGCCTTCTAAATCTAACTTCCTACCCCCTGGTGAGAAGACGGAAGAGAAGGTTCTTTGGGTTATGTTGTCTCGTCTCCAGCTAGACAATGCCTCCTGGAAACCCACCCCAGGGCAGGCCGGAAAAAAATCACAGAAGCCGAGGACCTCCAGACAGCTGAACCACAGTTATTGGTTTTTGACTATGTTTTCTATGCTTCATTATTACTTTTATCTGCCACTCTCTGTCCTTGTAAATGATTTTACATTTGAAAGAAGCTGCTGTCAAGCGGGAAAAAAACCAGATTCAAAAAGTAGGCTGTTTTTAAAAGGATTTTTAAAGCCAACATTGTGCATGTCTGCTCCAAAGCATACCATGACAGATGCAAGAATTATGATTTTTAAATTATTTAAAGGTTTTTAAAAATGTATCATACAGAGAAAAATTATTTCCTGTATAATAGTATATCTATAGCTCTCACATCTTATGTTAACAATTTATCATATATGGAAGAAGTCCTTTGACATAGAAATCTGTTTCAAACTACAAAACTGTGTTCAAAATCCAGTCTATCAATATCATTAGAAATAATATTATAAGCAAACATACCACCTCACCTATTGCTTTCTTTGCTTTCATTTACATTTAGTCTTCCATTCTGTCAGAATCTAAGAGCTTCAACTGAAAAATATCTTAATTTATAATGCAAGAAAAACCATATATGAAAAGTATTTAAATTTTGTAAATACACAATAATCCTAATACCTTCGTTCAATGCATATGGGCAACTAATTTCCTTTTGATCCAATGGTGTCTTTTTCAGCTTCTTGGAGAATGAAGTAATCCAGTTAGGAAATGGTGTAGTAACATATACAACTGCCCTCAAATGTAAAATTTGAATATTATCACATTTTGTTCTAATTGAAATCTGAAGCATGAAGTCTGCACATCAGCATAGTGTTAACTCTTTTAGGGCATGCTGGAATTAGCTCAGATCGTACAAATATTTAACATTTTACATTGTTAATAAAATCTTTTTAGTTCAGCTAAGCTTGTCTCATTTTAGGTGACTATACAGATGTGACTTTTCCAATGTGTACTTTGTGTCTTACCTTATGAGTCAGATTCTTGAAAGCAGGACACATGAAGCAATACTATTATTTTAGAAAGGAGGAAGCCAGGCGCCATGTCTTTCTGCTCACAGCTGTGTTGTGACCTTCCTCCTCTAAACTAGTCACAAGGTACAAGTTTTGTTAGATTTCTCCTGGCTCTTCCTTTGGCCCATTTCCCAGACAGAATTTCCCATGGGTTGACAGATCAGGCCTTTGGACTTCTTTTCTTTTTTCATAGTCTGAAAAGTCCTGAAGTCAGACAAGAGGCATCCGTGTCTAGTATAATAAAAGGGTGAGCCAGATGCCTACAAGTTATTTATTCAAAAATCATCTTTCATCCCAACCCTATAATTTCTTTCTACTTATGTGCATGGGCTTTTACATGTCCACCAATATTTTGACCTGAAAATGAAGTATATTAAAGCTTTTATCTTTAATGAAGATAAAGACAGGTGCAGACAAGTTACTAGACTAATTATTGTATTAGGTTGAATTATCTGAAATTGCTGGTATTTGACTGTTTTGACCTAAGAAATAGCAATTCCATATAGTTCAACCTAATATCTAATGTTGTGGAAATTACCCTTGGAATTGTCTTCTAGCTGCTTTTGATTGAAAGTGAAGTGAAAAAACTTAAAGAGTTGGAAGAGATCTCAAAAGGCTATGTAGGTCTCTATTTAGGTCATACCAGTCTGTTTTCATCCTCATTCTTAGAGCCCCGAGTTGTGTTCCAAGGAAGGGTAATTGATGCATGATTATAGGTATGCCTGACTTAATATGAAGAAGTACCCTTAAAAATTACATGAGAAAATCATCATGTTTTAAATCAAATACTTGCAAAAACAGTTGTGGTAATATGCTATTGAAAAGAGTCCTCAGGTGAAAGTCCCTTGCAGAGCAGGCAACCGTTCCCAAATTTACCTGGTCTGTAAACCCCGACTTTCATAAATCGAGTTTGGTTAATACGTAATATCTTTTCCTGAATGTGGTTTATTTTTATCCCCTGAGATAAATTAACCTCAGGTCCACTGTTTTAGAGATTCCAAAGTAGCCCAGTTTGGCACATTCTCACTCCTGTCTCTCCCCACTCCCACCTTTCTACTGTATAAAACCCTTAGCTTCATTCTAGTTCCTACTAATTCATGCAAAGTTATTAGCTGGTAAGTCCAACCTTGGTGTTCAGCACGTCCTTCTAAATGCTTGGCCTGAATCACTTCTGCTCAGTTAATTTGTGTTCACTCTAGCCTTAGTCTCAGCGTAAAAGTAACACTTAGCTTCTGTGCAACTGTCCTTTGTACAACTGAAGACTGTTAATCAATTCAGGTCTCACCTCCATGTTTGGGAGGATCACAGTAGCATTTCAAGGAGATAGGAATTTGTCTAATTCCCTAGCTAGGCTTTCTGTATGCAAGGTAAACAAATTCAGCCACTTTATCTTTTATTCATAGTGCCTGTTTCCCAGCCTTTGATCAGTTTTGTAGTTCCCTTAGACACACTCCAAGATTTATAGATCTTTTTTCAGTAGCAGGTCCTAAGATTAAATTTAGTGCTCAAAGACCTGATAACCTACACTGGTGAGTGGTTGCAGCAGGTAATCCACCTGCTAGATATGCCAGTGCATCTCTTGACTGCACTCTCCCCTCCCTACCAAAGGACTTTCTCAGGTGTAGCTCCATGAGACAGAGTTCTACTGTCTCAGCTTCCTGCCGGTAACGTGCTATAAGATTAGCAATAATACTTAGCTGATCTCTAAGGGTAAGGAGAGAGCACTGAACCAAGTTTGTTGCATGTACTCACATACTTGAAAAACAAAAGGATGTGAACCTTTTCTGGCACACAACCATCCATTCTACCACCATATTTTCAATACCCCATGTTGACTTTTTTTTTGAGATTACAGAGGCAATTCATGTTCTTTGTAGGAGATCTGGAAAATACCACTAAGTATAAAGAAAAGAAAAATCACCAAAATGCCACCACAATCACATTATTTAAAACTACATTTTTAGGCTTTGTATTAGTTAGTGGTGGGGTCCAAAGGCACTTTTGGATGAGGTTTGGACAGAAATGCCCATAGGGCCAAGGTGTCACTTTGCACACATCTAGGAACAGATTCACTGCACAATTCTGGCTGTAACCTCATTCTAGAGTACAGAGAAGACATCAGAAGGAGCACAGCCCAGACGCCTCCTCTAATGAAAGCTCTGGGGAGACTCTGAAATCCTGCCAGGTCATTTTGTTCCTCGGTGCTCCTTGCAGCACGGGATGCTTACCTGTTCGGCAATACTGCCACCTACTGAAAGCTGAGCTTTCTAGTGAGGGGAAAACAAACACCAAGCAGAAAAGGATGGAATTAATTTGAGGAAGCAAAACAATGGGCCAGATTAACAATGATCCCATAGGAATTTCAGGCTATGGAACTCTGAGAGTTGAAAGGACTTGGGAGATCATCCACATTCACTTCCCACCCCACACAGATACCTAAGCAATGTCTAGCCTTTCTTTGCATACTAGGATGTCAGTAACTTTCAGGTAACTATACACAGGATGAAATAGAGCAGTAATGCTATTGGTTCAAAATAAATCATTAGAATTAAATATAAAGTCCAGAAATAAACCAAAGGACATAGAAGAATTGAGTACCCTATAAACATGACATTTCAAATCCGTGAGAAAATGTGGGATTGTTAAGTAACTTATATTGTGATATCTGGTTAGCCATTTGGGGGGAGAAATATTATATCTGTGCCTCATAACTTTCATCAAAATAAGTTGTAGGTGCAGTAAAGATTTGAATGTTAAAACACGTAAAAAACCATATAAAAGGACAAGCAGACAATACTAATGAATATTTATGTAATTTTTGTGTGGATGAAAAAGCCTTTCTAAGCATGACAATAAAGAAAGAAACCACAAGGGAAAAGATGGATGGATTTCACAAATTAAAAATGCAAAACTGCTATATGATAAAAACTAAACCAGATTTTTAAAAAAACAAAATTTGAACTATATGTAACAAAAAGTGTAGACCTCTAATACATGTCAAGAGCTTAAACCCTACTACTCTGGGAAGTTTCCACACTCTGCAACCCCCTGCCCAGCCAAATGTTCCCATCTCACCCTCTTCTTACCCCACTTTTGTTCATCATTGCTTATTTCATTGCCTTTATCCACTAAACTGGAAGCTCAAGGAGGCAGCAACCATGTCTACTTTGCCTACTGTTATCTCTTCAACACCTAACACAGTGATAGACACAAAGCAAACCCTAAAAACATATTTATTGAATGAATGAATTTCTGAAAAAAGGACATTTATGACTCAAAAAAAATCAAACTTTCCAGCAGAAAACTGAGACAAGGACACAAACTGGCAATGTACCATAAATTTAAATAATGCACTAATAATAATATGAAACAATTTGAATATACTAGTAATCAAAAATGCAAATTATAATATATTCCTTTTTGTGTATCTGAAAGGCAAATCATATAAAGAATTAAAGTGCCCAGGGACAGAAAGAAGTGTAGAAATGAATATTCTCTTACAGAGTCAACAAGACTAAACTGAGTCAACCTTTCTGGAAAACATTTTGGCAATATATTTTATGTGTATGCCAAGTAATTCCACTTTAGGGATTTTCTCCTCAAAAAGGTCAGAAAATAGGAACTAAGGCACATTCATTCATTATTCAAGAAATATATGCAAGAAAGGATGTTTAATGCAGCCATATTTGGAGGAAGGTAAATATAAATAAGCCTACAGTATAGGGTGGTTAAATGTGGTCTATCCTTTCGATAGATACCAGGCACCAATTAAGAATAAGCACCCTATGTATATGTATGGAAATGAATAAGCTATATTGTTAAGTGAAAAAAGAGTTATGGAAGAAGTCTATAGTGTTATTTCATTTTTAAAATATACATATTCAGGTGTGCATTAGAGTCTAAATGGATATTTGCTAAAATGTTAACATCATTTATCTCTGGGAGGTGAGATTTGGAGCACTTACCTTTTCTTTTGGCATATCTGTAATTTTTGAATTTTCCACAATGAGCATGTAGTATCTGTATAATTTTTCAGGGAATAAACAGCAATGTTCACAATATATATTAAATAAAAACACATGTTATAAAACAGTATGTATAGTATGATACAATATTTGTAAAAAGAAAATTATATATAAATATATCTATGTATGTATATATATATGCATAAGAAAGCTAGAAGGACATACATTAAATGTTAATAGTAGTTATTTATGGGTAGTGGGATTATGGGTGATTATTTTTTCTTTTTGCTTTTCTGTGTTTTCTAATTTTTCTACAATGAATATGTATTACTTGTGTAATAAAAACTATTAATAAAAGTTTTAAAAAAGAATGAAAAAGTGAAAGACATTTTCATGAGCCACTTGCCCTCTTTCCCTCATCCTGCCCATTCCAGGACAGGGAGAGAGAAGCAGAGAGGCGCGGGAGGGGAGGGGAGAAGGACAGAGACGTAAGGAAAGAGAGAGGAAAAAGGAGAAAATGAGAGGAAAGGAGGGAAAAAGGCAAGAGACAAAGAAAGAAGTAAAAGTAAAGCCAGTGGAGGCAGGATTAAAACAAGTTTTGGAAACTTTTTCACTCACAGTAACACTGTTCTCTAAATTTAGTTCAGTCTTCCTGATAGCTACAACAAAATGCATTGAGTTAAATAATTTTATTTTCCAATAAAAGAAAATTATATACACATGTGGAGAGACGTCTAGGAATTAAACTCAGACAAAAGTGCATCCCAGGGAGTTTTTCAGAAGTCCAACTCTGAAATCAAGTTAGTTGTCGAGGGCTGTGCGGTACAGCTAGGAGTTAGCAGACTTTTGTCTGAATCGTGGATATTCTGCAGCTAAGTCCACAGCTCTGGCTAGCAGTTCCAGTATCCACTCTCTCCCTTTTT